GAGATACAGTGGAAACCATCTCTTGAAACCCTCTACTACTCAATTCCCTCCTTGGAGGTAACCACACAAATTATTTCAGTGATTATCACGCCCCGTGTTGTGCTTTAGTCATTTCTACATAGTGTTTGCATCCCTAAAACATGGAATAAGGGAGGGTCGTGGGCGTGGTGGGCTCACACCTGTAACCTAGCACGTCTGGAGGCCAAGGCCTGGAGGATGCTCGAGTCAGGAATTCAAAACCAGCCTGAGCAACCGGACGCGAACCCCCGTGCCTCTACTAAAAATATGAAATGAAATTAATTGGCCCAACTAATGTATATGAAAAAATGAGCCGGGCCATGGTGGCGCAGCCTGTAGTTCCCAACATACTCAGGAGGCTGAGTGCAGGGGAGGAGCGGCGCGGCCCAGAGGTTTGAGGTGTGCTGTGAGCTAGGGCCTGACGCCACGCGCACTCACTCTAGACTGGGCAACAAAGCGAGACTGCTGTCTCCAAACAACAACAACAAAAAACAATAATAAGAGCCACTGCATTTTTCGTAGGCTCCTTTGGGGAATTTTGTTTTTCTAGATTTATGCAATTGGTGGGCGTTTTTTTTTTGTGTGGACGTTGTTGATGTGCAAGAGACATATAGAGGATCAGGACTAATCCCGCGGATGTTAGCGTCCATTGGGAACGTGTGTTCATTCCAAGCTCTAAAGTTGTTTCCTTACATTACCGATTGTGAAAAGTTAACAAGAATCTTTATTTCTTAATTAGGACCTCATACTCAGGTTATATCTGCAGAGCTTAGGGGCCTTACTTCTCAGGCCGCAAACAAAAGTAGGAAGATACCCCTAATAAGATGAATGACTCAGCACTTAGCAATTGCAGAGATGCCCTATGCAACCACAGAGTTATTAATCACTGATGGAAGCAGAAATGAGCAAATTGATGGCTTGATGGCTCAGTAGAACCCCCCTTGAAAATGGGGGGAGAGCCAACTCATCAATTACTCTGGAATCGATTCTTGCTCCATCAGCCAATTTCTAGCCAAAGGGAATAATGGCCTCTTGGTAAGCAACTGCTTCAGCTTTAGGGTTTTTGTGTTGCCTCACGACTTTGTTGCGTTCAATTACAATAAGCTAGGTACCACTTAGGAATTGACCCTGACCCTGTGGAATTGACCCTGGCTCCTATCAAGTAGAAATTGATTGACAGGCACTGGGAAAAAAAAAGCAAAAATAATACAAAAAGCATCAGCTAAAAAATAATGATTGTAGTAGAATTATATTGTTTTTGCTTTTCCTGCAATTTATACATTGTTATTTTATTTTATTTTTTTTTTGAGACAGAGTCTCGCTTTGTTGCCCAGGCTAGTGTGAGTGCCGTGGCGTCAGCCTAGCTCACAGCAACCTCCAACTCCTGGGCTC